ATCAGACTTGATAGATCATGAGTCGAATTTTCTTTAAGTTAACATGGTGGTTAGTCACTGAAACATGTTCACATAAGGCTACAGTACTTGTTTAAAATCAAAACTTTGATTTATTACACAAAACAAAAAAGACAAACAGCATAGATATAGAAGACAGAAGATTCAGAAAGAATTTAGCACAGATACAATATTGAAGTTTCAACCAATTCCACAACACTATCATTTACAGACCCTTGAGTACAGAGAAAATATCCTCTGCTCCCAACTCTGAATTTTCTTTAGAATCCCTACAGTGTGGAGCCATTCGGCCTAACAAGTCCATACCAAGTCTCTGAAGAGCATCCAATCCAGGCCTATCCCCCCGACCCTATCCCTGTAGCCTTGCATTTCCCATGGCTAATGCACTTCACTTACGCGTTCCTGGACACTACAGGGTAATTTAGCATGACCAATCCACCTAACTTGCAAATCTTTGGACTGTGGGAGGAAACGGGGTCACCCGTAGGAAACCCAAGCAGATATAGGGAGAATGTGCTAACTCCACACAGACAGTCATCCAAGGGTGGAATCGAACCCAAGTCCCTGGCGCAGTGCTAACCACTGAGCCACTGTCCTGCCCCGTGAGCCACCATGCTGCGATTTCTACTTAACTGACTCCTTCTAGTTTCTTTTATCTTTGTAAACTATAGAGGCAGTTTTACTTGCATTTTCTGAGTTTGTGAGCATGAACCTTTCACAATTGTAAGGAGCTCAATGTTCCTAGTCATAACAACCTGAAGACTGTATACAAGCTTGGAAATGCCACATACAGGAAAGACATTTCTGCTGAGGTGACTGTGTCCCCTCAACTGAACTATGCTTGTTTATACTGAATGGAACTGTGAAAACCAGATTGTTCTGCTTTGAGGTCAAGACAAAGCTCACAACTATATTCTATTTACTTCTGTCATAAACTGAACAATGTAAAATTTTATCCATTAAAGCCGTAAGAATTCTCCCAGATATTTGACTACTTGACATGTCTTCTAGCAATTGATGCACTGAGGTCACCATCCAAGTGACTTTCTGACCTGCTTTGTTAATATAAAAAAATTCACACATCTGAACAAAGTCCATCTGCCTCTTAGGAAAGAAGAATGAGGCAGTTTTAAAAAAAACACAAGGTTGTAGCTTCAGTATTTAGAAATAAAGAATACAAAAACAAGGAAGTTGTGTTAAATGTTTATAAATTTGAGAACTTGTAGAGGAGATTTATTAGAACAGTATCAGAGATGAAGGTCTTCAGTTTTTGCAGAAACAATAGGGAAGCTGTGATATGCTTCCTGAGAGAAAAGATGATTAAGGGGACATGTGATAGAAGTTTTCAAAATTGTAAGTTGTTTTAAGAGAATAGATTGTGTAAACTGTTTTTCCCTTTCAAAAGGGTAATGAGAAAAAAATATACTTTATTTTGGAATCAACCAGGGAGCAGGCTACTCTGGATTTAGTTTTGTGTAATGAAGAGCAATTAATTGATTACATCATAGTTAAGGATCCTGTAGGGAGTACTGACTGTAGTGTGATATAATTCAAAATTCAAAGTTTTTGCAAAGGTTTGAGAAACAAAACCGGAAATAATACCAAACACCCCAGCAAACTGAGGCACATAAATAACAAGTGGGACAGAACACCAACGCTTCACCAGAGGTGCACTGACAATGTTACCTAGCAGGGTGACAGAACGTTTGCAACCAAACCCACTGGCTCGGCGAGCATGTCTACAACCTAATGCAAAATTCAGTTTAGGGATGAAAAAGTGGAGTCTCACAGTCGTATTCTGGAATTAAACAAAGGGAATTACATAGGCATGAGGTCAGGTTTGGCCTGAGTAGATTGGGCAGGAAGACTAAAAGATAAGACAGCCAATGAGCAGTGGCAGTTGTTTACAGAGCTGGTCAGTTCCTTGCAACTGAAATATATCCCAGTGAGGGAAAAAGATGGTAAGAGGGGTGAAAAAAAACTTCCATGGCTAAACAAGGAGGTCAAGGACAATATAAAGTTTAAAAACTAAGGCATACCATATTGCAAAGGCCATTGGCAGGCTGGAAGATTGGGAAACTTTCAAACATAAACAAAGGGATACTAAAAAATTAATAAGACCCAAGGTAAATTATGAAAGAAAACTCGCATAAAATATCAAAAAGGATAGCAAAAGCTTCTGTAGATATATAAAAGGGAAGAGAGTTGCTAAGGTGAATGTTGGTCCCTTAGAAGATGAAACCAAAGAGTTAACAGTGGGAAACAGTGAAATGGCAGAGATCCTAAATCAATGCTTTGCCTCAATTTTCGCAGTGGAGGACAATACTACCATTCCTACTGGAACGGGCAAGTCAGAGGCAATAGAAAAGGTAGAACTTGGAACAATCAATGTTGATAGGGAAAAGGTACTCGGCAAACTATAAAGATTGAGGGCAGATAAGTCTCCCAGGCCTGATGGCCGACATCCTAGGGTAATAAAGAAAGTGGCAGCAGAGGTAGTGGGTCTATTAGTTACAATATTCCAAATTTCCCTGGACACAGGCAAGGTTCCAGTGGATTGGAAAAATGCTAATGCAACGCCCATTGGGAATATGTGGGAAATTACAACCCATTTAGCGTAACATCTGCTGTTGGGAAAGTGTTAGAATCAATTATCAAGGAAGTAATATCAGGACATTTGGAATGTCAAAATGCTATCTGTCAGAGTCAGCATGGTTTTATGAAGGGCAAATTACTATTGACTAATTTGCTAGAGTTCTTCGAAGATGCAACAAACAAAGTGGATAATGGGGATCCTATGGATTGAATATATCTGGACTTCCAGAAGGCATTTGATAAGGTGCCACACTAAAGGTTAATTCACAAGGTTGGATCATATGGGATTAGAGGTAATCTATTAGCTTGGATAGGTGACTGGCTGCTGGACAGAAGACAGCGTTGGGATAAATGGGGTTTTTCTGGAAGGCAAGAAGTAACATGTGGGGTGCCACAGGGTTTGGCCCTTGGACCCCAGCTATTTACAATCTGTATTCATGACTTGGATGCAGGGATAGAAGGCTCTGTACCCACATTTGCAGACTACACAAAAATAGGTGGGACAGTAAATAGCGATGAGGAAATAAGAACCTTACAAATGGATATAGATAGGTTAGGAGAGTGGGTCAAAATGTGACAGAGGGAGTTTAACATGGATAAGTGTGACATAGTATGTTTTGGTCAGAAAAATGGGAAGGCGACTACTATTTAAATGGGGAGAGATATCGGAGTACTCTGGTGCAGAGGGATCTGGGTGTCCTCGTTCATGAGTCATAGAAAACTTGCATGCAGGTACGGCAGGTAATAAAAGAAATTGAACGAAATGTTGGCTTTTATAGCTAAAGGAATAGAATATAAAGGTAAGGAAGTATTGTTGCAACTATGCAAGACATTGGTGAGACTGCACCTGTTTTGTCCCCTTATTTGAGGAAGGATGGCATTGTGGTGGCATTGGAAATGGTCCAGAGGTTCACTAGAATGATCCCAGAGATGAGGGGTTTGTCGTATGAAGAGAGATTGAACAATTTAGGCTTATACTCTCTGGAATTCAGGAGAATGAGGGGAGATCAGATTGAGGTATTCAAGATGATAATAGGAATAAATAAAATAGACATAGAGTGGATGATGAGAGGTCATAGTTTTATGATAGCAAATCTAAAACAGAATTGAGAAGAAACTACTTATCTCAAAGGGTTGTGAATCTGTGGAATTCACTACCCCAAAGTTTGGTGGATGCTGAGACAGTGAGTAAATTTAAGGAGGAGTTAGATTTTTAATTGATAATGGGTTGAAAGGTTATGGGGAGAAGGCAGGAAAACCGGGGTGAGGAGCATATCAGCCAAGATTGAAGGCAGAGCAGACTTGATTCTGCCCCTATTTCTTAGGAACTTATTCAGTGAGTTGCTGTGATGCAGAATTCATTCCCATGAAAGGCTGGAAGAAATAGTTTCAGTAGTAATTTTAAAAGTAGATATGTATTTGACCAGGAACAATTTGCAGGACTGCGGAGAAAAACCTGGGCGTTGGGTTGAACTGGATTTTACTCTAGGATCCGGCAATCCAAAAGAACTGCATAAAGTTGTTCTATTGCAATTCGAACAGAGGTTTATTCAGTGGCAGTACACGCTAAAATAAAACAAGGCAAATCTGCACCAGCCCATGAACCTTGCTGGTGACTCACCGGTGGTCACATGATTCACTTCTTAAAAGTACAATGTTCCAGCATAACACAAACCAACTATAATGCATAACGTCTATATAATACACAACAAATAGCTCTTTCAAAGAGCTGACCCTGCCATGATAGTCTAATGGCCTGTCCTATCTTGATTGCAAAAACATGTTCCACATACAAGTCTGTGTTTTTTCAGCAGCTGTAGACTCCATCTGCATCAGCCTCCCATTTGCAAACACTAATATCACTGTCAACTTGGAAGAGTACTGCATAATGAGATTTGTTTACAGATGGTCTATTAATAAAATATTTTGATAAATAGTGATGTACTGTTGGTACTGTTCCATCGTTGATCGGAACAACTTCCCTGAAATCGTCCAGTGATCATCTGAATTAAACAACTGTGCAAGGTGTTTCCATAAAATGATTTTGTGTGAACTAGAATTTAAACACTGGAACACCTATAATTCTTTAGCAAAGCAATTAAGTCCTTTGAAAAATCACACTGGCTTGCCAATTGTATTAGTTTGAGACTAAAGTTTACTCTGCACAAATTTTGCATAAATGTGTTAAAAACCAATTTTCAAAATAAGATTTTTATTGATTCATTAATTGCAACCCTAATAGATGTTAGATAATGTCTTACATAAGGTACTTTTCTCATTTTTAAAAAGCAACGAAATGCATTAAGAGATTTAAATGCAATTTGAAGTGCATTTTTGACTTTGAGTATTCCTTGCACATATAATATCAGTAAACCCTTTGCTTACAGTTCCCTGCTGTAAACCACCCTCAGACTCTGGACAGAAGATATTTGGGCGTTATTAGTGGAGTTATGTTAGACCTTATGAAGGTATGAAAGCTTTGAAGCATTAGCAGAATGATTCTGAGGAATGTGACTATTTCAGTTTTATTTTTCATGTTTTGCTTCTTTATTAATGGTTCTGGAAATAACATTGCCTGTTCCGAAGGTCTCTTGTAAGCGGCTTCCGTTTTTCAATTAAAATTAAACGAGTGATACCCTGAGGTATAGAGCATAGACAGAAACAAACTACTTCTAAGGTGCAGCTGTGTGGATTAATTGTAATTTCATTTTTTTCTGTTTGAAGAACTTGCTGAAGCTGAATCCATCTGAAAGATACCTCACAGAACAATGCTTAAATCACACTGTATTCCAGACCCAGAGGCTGTTGGACAGATCTAATGGCACTTCCCCAACACGGTTAAGTAAAAGAAAACCTCATCATGCAGAAAACAGGTAAAACTAGTATATGGCTATAGAAACTCTATTGTGCCTCTGTAGCAACTGGAAGCTGAGGGTTATTTTTAACAGACAGAATGTAGCTGTTCCACAAGGCCGTCACCCAACCTGTGCTTTGTCTCCTTAATGTAGAGGAGACTACATTGTGAGCGATTGCCACCCCTTTATTCTGAGACTGTATCTCTGGTCCGAGACTGTCCTATGACAGGAAACATCCTCTCAGAATTTGCCCTGTCAAGCCTTGAAGAATCATGTAAGTTTCAGTAAAATCACATCTCATACTTTTGAACTCCAGTAAGTAGAGTCCAAACCTGTTCAGCCTTTGCTCATAATGCAGCCCTTGCTCATAAGGCAGCCCCTTTATACTTGGGATCATTCTAGTGAATATTATCTTAACTGCCTCCAATGGAATGATATCTTTTAAATAAGGGGATCAAAACTGCACATAGTACTCCAAATATGGTCTCACCAGCACCTTGTACAGTTGCACTAAGATTTCCCCATTCTTACACTCTAACTCCCTTGAAATAAGGGCCAACATCTGTTGGCCTTCCTGATTACTTACTGCACCTGTGTGCTAGCTTCCTTTGTTTTGGGTACTAGTGCCCCCAATTCCCTTTGTGTTTCACCTTTCTGCAGTTTCTCTCAATTTAAATAATATTCTGTTCTTTTGTTCTCCCTTCCAAAACTTTGTACTTCCCCACATTAAACCAACTATTTGCCCATAACTGTCAATATTTCTCTGGAAGCTGTTTGTATCCCTCTTACAACCTACCGTTCCATCTATCTGCAAATTTCACTGCAGTACATTCATTTCCATCCTCCAAGTAATTAATATATATTATAAACAGTTGAGGTCCCAGCACTGATCCTTTTGGAACCTCTTGTCACAGGTTGCCATACTGAAAAAGAACCCCTTAGCCCATTTGTTGTTTCTGCCGATTTGCCAATTCTCTATCCATGCCAGTATGCTACCTCCAACATATTGGGCTCTTATCTCATGGCGTATTCTTTTGTGATGTACTTTGCCGAATGCCTTCTGGAAGGCCAAATGCAACACATTTACTGCTTCTCCTCTATCCACTCTGGCTGAGACTTGGTCAAAAACCCCTCAAATTTGCCAGACATGATTTCCCTTTCATGAAGACATAGTTGGCCTATAGTTACCAGCTTTTTGTTTTCCTCCCTTTTTGAATAGGGGTGTCACCTTGGCAGTTTTCCAATCCTCCAGTACTTCGCCACACTCTAAGGATTTTTATCTCATTACAGCCAATGCATCAATTATTCTATGGAGCTACCTTGTTGAGGATCGTAGGATACGAGCCATCAAAGCCAGGGGCCTCATCTGCTTTTAACCGTATTAGCTGGTCTAATACTACTGCAGTGATAGTACTTAATTCCTACCCTTTATTCTTTAGTATTAATGGGATGTTTGAAGTATCTTACAATCATAGAATCTCCAAATCCTTGATCCCCTTGTAACCATGTATCCATAATGGATATGAGATCATAGTCATTTACCTTGATTTGCCCTGTCAGTTCATCAACTTTATTCCGAATGACACATGCATTAAGATACAAAGCCTTTAAGTTTCTTCTATTATTGAATTTCACTGCACTTTTATGGTACTTTGCCACAATATGACATGTTGTCCCTTTTATTTTCTGGTAACAATCATCCACATCACTAACCTGCAATCCTACTGCCTCCTTTACCTTTTGATTTTCTGATTTTCTATGTAACCAAACCCCCATGCATACGCACACTGTTTAGGTTAAAACCCTATCTCCAGTCCTAGCTATGTATTTCGCCAGGACTCTGGTTCCAGCATGACTCAAATGGAGCCCTTCCCATCAGAACAGCCCCTTCCTTCCCCAGTCCTGGTGTTGGTACCCAATGAACTCAAACCCATTTCTCTCAATCTTTGAGCCATGTGTTTTCCTTTTTAATCTTGTTGACCCCGTGCCATTTAGCTCGTGGCTCTTTTAGTGATGCCGAGATTATCATCTTTTTAGTTCTACTTACTGATTCGGCCCCTGTCTGCTGATGTTCCTTCTGCAGAACCTATTTCTTTGTCCTGCTTACATTGTCGCTGCCTATGTGGATCATGGCAACTGGATCTTTCCATTCCATCCCAAGTTCCTCTGTAGCCCAGATGAGATATCCTGAACCCAGACAAGAGGCAGACAACATAGCTATTTGGGCTCTCTATCCTGGCCACAGACAATAGTGTCGGTTTCCCTGACTATACTGTGTGATCTCTCCTTCCTGATTGTGCAGAGCTTACTGATCCTGGAGAGTGAGATTTGACCAGCAGTAAGTTACTGATCGGTTTGTACATTTGTGACCATTCATGGATGCCAAAGTTCATCAGCCTGAGTAATGAGTAACCTTCAGATTTCTGGAATAGCAGTTCATGCGCCTCCCTATCTGAAGTAAAAATATGAGAGACATGAAGCAAGCCAGTATTTTCTCCCACCAGCTTCAGTCGGCTGTTGGCTTAATCAGTGCCTCCTGCGAAGAAGTGAGGGAAGATGGCGAAAAGAGATTGAAGAACAGAAGCTCTGGCAAATCAAAGGATCATCTCGGTGAAGAAGAATGAACAGTGTCCTTCATTGTCACGTGTCCTCAGTACAGAAATACCGTGAAAAGTTTTACAATGTGGCCTCTTATGGCACCATCTTTGGTACAAGTACCTAGGTATAAATCTTAGATACAAACAGAGGAATGAAAAAGAGAAGTAGATGCATTACTTTACAGTGATTCATAGTATAAGTTAGAAATGAGAAATAGTTAAAAGGATAGACACTACAGTCAGATAAACTATTACAAATAAGCATTACATTGCAGTAGCTCAGTGCAGGGGCTCCACACGTGGTCTGACTGCCTGTTCCAGACCCCAGTCCAACAACAGTTCCTGCTGTGCTTCAAGCCTCCACTCCGCTCCGTACTGGCTCTCAGCTGCTCCAAGGTAAGTTTTCTCCAGGACTCGCTTCCCTGCATTGGCTTTTGCCTGGGATTCGTGCTCTGCACCAGCCTCTGCTCCAAGACTGATTTCCCACACTGACCTCTGCTCTGGGATTAGCCCCCAGGTCTCGCCTGCT